AACTAGTAGTTCCTTTGTTTTCACTCCAACTCACAACTCCTCCCTTCCTTGTACCTTCAGTGTTTCTCCTTGTCCTTCTTAAGTGAGTGAATTTCCCATGTCAACTTCTAGCAAGTTTAAGATAAAAACTGAAAATGTAATGCAGAGCCTTAGTATCGCGTTGCAGGGTTTTCAAAATTCAGATATTTGCCCTTATTTACAGCAACTAATTCTCATCTGTAATACTGGAAATGGTAACCATGATTCTGATCATAACTCTGCCCCATAAAGAGAGCATATGAAACAATGATGATTCCCTCGTCCAGAAATTTAGAAACAGAAGGGAATGAAAAGACTGGAAACAAAGAAGAAGAGATCCAAATTCAAACTCTGGACACTGATTCTTAGGATAAAGTCATGTTATCTTTACCAATGGTAGGACACGTTACTAAAGTTCTGAATGTTACTGAAGTTCTAGTTGTTTATGGTCTTTAGTGTGTACAAGGTTCATTTGCAACCCAGTTAAAACCCATAAAAGGAGACATTTGACTTATAATTTAGGAGTCTCCAATCAGGTTTTACGACAGGGCATCTTTCTGTTTAAAACAGGTCCGGAATGAATGACTGTAGAAGTCTGTTTCTTCTGAGTGAAATAGTCTTGCTCCAGGAATACAATATGTTTCTAGAACCCTGAAACACAAGCCTGTGGGAGACAATGGAGGAGATCCTAAGGACAAAAGAGCTGCAAAAGGAACCCCAACTTCCTACTCTCTCTTTCTCAAGGAATTTTCAGGGATAAGTTTTCCAGACTTGCATGCAAACAAGCATTTGTGAGGGGTTTTTAACTATGGGCAAAAGAAAAGGCTTTAACTTGGCCTTTTCACATTTCTGCTTTTAAATTGCAAATTGCATTTCTTATTGTTGTTGTTTTTAAAAAATTCCTTTTAGAGTTATCGCTTGTTTTACCTCTAAAATTATTTTTATTGTATCTTCTACCTTTTTGTCATATTCTTTTAAGTGAGGAAAGGAAGCATGGGTGTAAAGAACTCTTCTTAAATAAGGGATGTTGAATCCCATTGTCTCCTGCTCCACCCGTTCTTCCTTCCTCAGCTCTGAATCCTCCCCCGGTAGTCCCATCTCTCCAGTCCCATCTATCTCTTTCAACTATAGGTAGTTATACCTGGTTCTAGAGCTTATCTTGACTATACCAGGAAGTCTATAAGCAGCAGAATGCCCCCGCCTGATGAGACCTAGCATGAGCATTTGGTGTTTCTGGAGTAAGGCTTGGACACTGTTGTATTCACTGAGCCACACACTCCTCTTCATCAGTGTTTGTTCAGCCCATGCAGCTGGATGGCTACCTCACTTTCCTCAGCACCATTTGAGCTTCTTTTTGTGTTCTGAAGCTAAGTGGATTAGGTTGAAGTAATGCCATTCACTTGGCTTCTGCCAGCCCCCATGCTCCCCGAGGGCTGACATTTCCCCAGTCTGGGTTTCTGCTCCCAACTACACCAACCACCCAGAAGATGAGGTTCCTCTCCTACTTAACTCCCTGGCTGCCATTTTGTTATAACCCCTGCTACAATGATCCACCTGCCCAATCTATCCTTTTGGGGCCACAGCCCTTGTAACAACAGATACTGGACAGCCTCGAATGTGCCAGATTCACAGCTCAGTCAGTTTTACAAATCCAGCCACTGCATCCTCTCCAAATTATTAAAGTCTTGCATCAGCCTTGCAGCTGTGCTACCTCAGTTAATTATGCTGACTTAATCTACCTCTTTTCATCCCTAAATTTATTCCTTCCAGAAAAGGTAGTTAGTATGAGTTCTGATTCTAATTCATTAGCAATCAAGTCAAAATTTTTGTGATATGCACAATTGCAGGATAACTTGCATAAAAGGGGAAAAAAATGTCTTATTACTATACTTATTCAGGCCTTACATGAGGAAATTAGGTTACCATCTACATCTTTATGTCTCTTACCTTATATTTTCGGTACAGATCTCTCTTCTAAGTTTCACATCCATATATCTAACTTAGACCTTTCTACCTGGATGTATCTCAGTAGCTCATACTCAACATATCAGACACTGAAACTTACACTCTTCACTTGCATCCTTCTCTGCCTCTTTTTCCAATAATAACAGCTTTTCAAATTTCAAAAACCCATAGTCTCTTGCCTAGCCCTGCCTTTACCTGTGACAAAAACAGCTAGCTCTTCACAAAAGGTAGAATACAGGGCACATAAACTTTTACAGATTAAAAATAATGGGCCCTATTAGATAAATTATTTATTCTAGTCATAATAGCAGTTTTTAAAAACACTCACCTAAAAGGTCTGCTATGTGGCAAGTCATCAATCAAACATTTATTTTAGCAAATATTGACTATGTGCCAGGCACTGTTCTAAGAGTTTTGTTAATATTAATTCAATGAACACGTAATATTTTATGAGGTAGTTACTATGTTTTTCAGATGGGGAAAATGAATCATGGAGAGTTAAGAAACTAGTACAAGGTCACAAAGCCAGGATTTCAGCCAGATAGTTTGCTTCCAGAAATTAAGGTTCTCAGTTATAGCAATGTGCTATGTGTACTCTATGAACATGGAAAATAATTGTCAATGCAAATGATTTAATTGTTATGTTTAGCATTATTTACAATTAAAAAGTATTATTCACATAATATCATTATGTAGAGTAGCTGGGCAGATAATTTACTATTTCCATAGAAACTTTACATATCATAGAGGAAATGTCCTTATAGAAGAGGAGCATCTGTTTTTCCTATATAGGTATATAGGAGACATGTAAGTGCTACTATTTCACACTACTAACCTTATTCAAAAAGACTTACTACAGAATGTCTTCAGCTGGGCTCGGTGGCTCAGCCTGTAATCCTGCGCCTTTGGGAGGCTGAGGTGAGTGGATTGCCTGAGCCCGCGGGTTCGAGACCCGCCTGGGCAGCGAGACCTCATCTCTACAATAAATCAAAAAATCAGCTGGGCATGGTAGAGCGCGCCTGTAATTCCAGCTACTTGGAAGGCTGAGGCGGAAGGATTGCCGGAGCCCAGCAGGTCAAGGCTGCGGTGGCCAGGAGCGGCCACTGCACTCCAGTCTGGGTGACAGAGTGAGACTCCAACTCAAAAGAAAAAAAAAAAGAAAGAAAGAAAAGTGACTAGAAGGAAAGGGGATTCTGGTTAAACAGACCTAATTCCCGTTTCTGCTGAAGGCAGACCAGGGTGATCACATAGCAAGGGTGGGGGTAAGGAATCGGACTAGATATCAAGGCTGATCTGATACGAAGGGTGTAGTGGAGCATAGCTGTTGACTCCCTAAAGGTTCTCTGAAAAATCACTGGCATGAGGCAGATTGATTTTTTCTCCTTTTAAAAAAATTTTTATTTTGAAGTTGTGGGGTACAATTCAGGGTTAGGTATACAAATGGTCATCATACATCACTTTGGTCCCCACTTCACCTGGTTTGAGAGCAGTTACCCTTACTGATGAAGGGTTTTCCTCCCCGCGGGTAGTTTCCCACTACTGCCAATCCCTTTCATATAGTATTATGAAAGGGATTAGCAGTAAATGTTCAGGGTCTGCTGAACAATTGATAATTGTTCAGGATCCGCTTAGGAGTGAGAACATGTGGTACTCAGTTGTTTCTGGCGACAGATCACAGAGTGATATATATTCTAAGTCCATCCAAGTGGCTGCGAAGTTCATAATTTTGCCCTTCTTTATGGCTGTGTAATATTCCATCATGTATATGTGCCACATTTTAAAAAATCCAGTCCACTTGCAATGGTTGGTTCCATGTTTTTGCTATTGTGGGTGATGCTGCAGTAAACATGCATTTGCAGGTATCTTTTTCATAGAGTGATATGAGTTCCTCTGGGTATATTCCTAGAATGGCGATTGTTGGGTTTGTATGGAAGGTCGATTTTTAGATCTTTTAGGAATTTCCACACTGTTTTCTGAGGCAGACTGATCAACAGACACAAAGGTATACAGATTTTATTTACTGGGAGGGCCCTCCCCCCCACAAAACTAGAATTATCTTTTGGTGGATGGGCCCTTATAGTACACTTAGAATTTGTTCATCCAGATCAGTCAGTCAACCAAAGTTTTTATCTGGAATGTAGTCTCACAATTTTCAGAAGAAACATCCTGAGTTTTGGCAAACAGGTGACTCATTCTTTCACCATGACAATACACCTGTTCACCCCACACTGAGTGTTCAGCAGCTTTTGACCCAAAAAGGCATGAGCCTTGTTCCCTTGTTCCCCATCTTCCCTGTTCACCTGATGTTGCCCCCAGCAACTTTTTTTGTGTCCCCGTATGAAAAAAGACCTAAATGGGAAATGTTTTGCTGATGTAGAAAAGCTGAAACAAAAAACAGCAGAAGGCATCAAAATTGATGAGTTCAAAAACTGTTCCGAGCAGTGGGAAAAGTGTCTCAATACGTGTATTGCAGCAAATGGGGAGTACTTTTAAGGTGACTAAAATTTAAACATGCAAGAACAGATATACCAATTTTACAAACAAATTCCGTTTTGGGGGGGTACCCCCCATAATGTGTATAAAAGTCATATACATTTTATTTATGGCAAGGGGGTCCCCCCCAAACCCAGAATTATCTTTTGGTGGGTGGGCCCTTTATAGAACACTTAAAATGTGTTCATCCAGATCAACCAGTCAACCAAAGTTTTTATCTGGAATGCTGTCTCACAATTTGCAGAAGAAATGTCCCGAGGTTTAGCAAACAGGTGGCTCATTCCTTCCCCAGAGGCTTCAGAATGAAGACCCAAATTTCCAGCGAGTCATAGAAGCATAAATACCATCTGAAGGTTACAGAAAGAATGGAGTCTTCGTTCTGAAGACTTCCATGTATACACGCTCAGCAAAAACCGGTATACCTCTTCTATTCATCAATCTGCCTCATGCCAGTGATTTTTCAGAGAATATCTGGGGTGCCAACAGTCATGGCTCCCACACAAAGTTTGGGGTTTTCTCCGAAGGCCTTTCAGCAAGAGAGGTGCCACAGTCGGGCGACACGGGCTCTGCAACGTTGGAGCCAAGAAGCCAAGGCCCAGGTCTAGTTGGAATGAAGGCGATGAATCTGGGCACAGCGTGGTGGAGGGTCTCGGCACGTGGCCGGGTGTGTGCCTGCTGGTGTGCCCGTGTGTCGGGGAGCTGGCAGAAGGCCCCAGGCCGCCGGGGCGCCGTCCCATTTGGGGTGGAAAAGGCCTGCGGACGGCCTGCTGGCTGCCTTCTCTGGCTTGGGATGGGGACGGGAGTCCTGATTCACTTCGCGGTGCTTCTCAGATAAATCCGACCGGACGTCCACACTACATGGGAACTGCAGCCATCAAAACACGACCCCAAAACCACACTATCTGTAGTCTTCCACTTACAGCCTCGGCACTTTCATCTCTAAGTGTCTTGCTACAGGTCTGGACGCTAAAAACGGCTCACAGCGAGCACTCGAACAAACAGGCCAGAAACGCGCAGCAACGTCCTAAAACCACAGCCCAGACAGTGTGCGGGAGGCTCAAGGGCGCAGCCTCAAGTCTCGCGAGATAGAGGCACAAGCGCCTTCCCCCCCCGCCTCTCGCGAGAGCCTAGGGCTTCCGCTTCCGGTGGGC